ATATACATATATATATATATATATATATATATATATATATAGAGAGAGAGAGAGAGAGAGTATTTGAGATGGCTAGGGATTGAGCGTAGTTTGGTAGAGGGGGAAAGAAAGGAGACCTCTATGATAAACACAAAGTACGTACCTTTTCAAGCGTTCTGATCTGATATAAAGCGACACCAAGAACGCCACTGCTTTCGGTTTGCTGCCGTATCATTCGATGTCTTTAACTGACCAGTTACCGAGTCTTTGGCACTCAAACCTGGAGGACAGAAGACACCTATTACACCTAATGGCACTGTTCATGCCTCATCTGCAAGTCATCTGTTGATCTCCACATGGTCCCCTCTAATCGGGGCGGAAACAGTGTATAAGGCGCGGTGTGGCAAACGACACCTGGGCACGCACACTACGTGTCCTAACCAGCGAAGCTAATCTCGATTCGATTTATCCCAGATGAACTGCAACCAACCACATGATTCACCTAACCCGTTTACCCCATCCAGCGTGATCCTAACTACCTAAGCATAGATGATCGAAAACTCCCATTTGATGGATATCTTTTACTCGTAAATTCAAGGTCTCACAACCATAAAGAAGAACCGAAAGAATGGTGGCACAATCGACACGACCTTTCAACTTCAGTTTGATGGCGCGTGTAGGTCGAGGGCGTTTCAGTCCTGCGTACTCTACTCGGTCGGTTATCTCCCTTGCTGTGTTGTAGTCATTGGTTACGCCGTCACGTAAGTAGGAAAAACAATCCACCGTAACTAATTCTTGACGATCAAGCATCAGAGCAGAAGTACGCGACACCCAGTCTTACAGCATCACTGCAATTTGAAGGTGCAAAGCGCATACCACATTTAGTTACAGAACTTGAAAATCTGCCAGTAATACCTTGGGCTTCCTGCATAGATTCCAACAGACAGACGATGTCCCTAGCATACCTTCATTCGCACAACTTTTATTCAGCTGCCCATTCAGTACCAATATTTTGGAGACTATTTAATGCGTTCTGCAGTATTTATTGTGTGACGAAGTTAAGTAGGAATCGCGAAACACTGCTGTTGCTTTCAAATGATTTGTTTAGCCCCTCTGTAAACCCTTAGGCTAACAGAAGTATACAATAGGTTGACATCTACGGCATTTCTTCACGAATCAATAAACCTATTAGGGCTTATCGTCAACTGAGTCAAAGACTCTTTTCGGGTCAAGGAACACTGCGATCGTGGGTCGACAGTGGATGTGACGCATCTTGAGAACCAGACAAAACGCAAAAATTTGATCAGTATGCCTAATCCGGTTTGCTGTTCACGAATATTGGTTTCTCTTAAACCAGTCAGACCTCGAAGTATAGCACAAGCTAACACTGTTAACGATTAGGATCAAACTTTTCCCGCAGTGTTTTGCGCCGTCGCTGTGTGATCCTTTCTTGAAAATGGGAATGATCAGCGATTTACCCCACGATGATGGAATACTCTCTTGAGACCAGATGTGCGGTAAGTTACTAGTAGCGCTTACGATTTTGTCACCTCTTCCCCCATGTTAAAAAGAGTACGAAGAAGCCCGTCGGTTTTCTTCTATCCCGGGGGTTGCATGCGAGATCGGATTACTGCTTCCACTTTGGGATCATATTAAACTACCCACGGAGCTTCAGTTGCAGCAGGTTAGGTGAACTGTTCGGTAAAACTAACATATTGGGTTACGGGTTGTTTAAACGGCTCTATCTTTTCTAATTTCATGCCTTTTGAACCACTTCCCCGAGTTGAGTGGAATCAATCAATGTATCGATTTCTCACGGATACACGGTATTTGAGAAAAGTTAATAATGCTGTAATAGTTACACTACCCTGTATGATTTTTTCCTTTTGTGATGAATCCGGCCCGTAATCAAACAGAATGACTTGAATTCAGATAGAACAATGACCACGGGTTTACCCTCAACGGGGATGAAGCGTGATTCATGGATGACTCAATTGTTGCCAACCTCTGGTTCGAATATTGCGGCTGCGTTGAAACCAAGAAAATTTCTGCAAGGTGTATCGGGATCTGGGGAGACTGGCTACGACAGCTCGTGGTTTAAAACCCCCGGTGGTGATCCGAGCAACGTAAACGAGGATCCAGAGGCTATCTGCGTGAGTTTATCGATCGCCATACTGGTTGTTTCAGTCTTCCATGCTCGCTCACACATGCTGTCAATGTTATGATTCCACAAAGTGGTGCTCGGTCGAGAATAGTTATTTATTGAGGTTTACAGATTGGGCATCACTAATTTCGCATACATAACACAGAAATCTCATCGGAAACTTACCCATGCAGTTCCTGGCCCCACCACGGGTAATGAAAGTAGCAATCGATAGATGCTCTTTGACACGCAGCAATTCGCCCTCAGTGATCTTGTTAACTTTTGATCGTTGAAATAAATCACCAACTGTGTTACCTACCACTCACAAATGTGAGTAGTATCTCGCAACAATAATAGAGATGTTTGCAGATCTTTGTTTCGACTGAATTTGAATTAGCACACTAAGCATGCGAAGTTAATCCGGTTTGCTTCTCCTCTTACATTGGACGCTTTGTACTGGCGGTGATCAAATTTAGCTAAGCTCCGCATCACCCCGTGAGTTTGAATTTAGTCATCACGACCTGGTCTTCGTATCGTGATGCGCACTTTGATCAGCCGCTTTTCATTCCTGTATTTTGATCCTGCGATAAGCCGTTCAGTGAAAGAAAGTGACAAATCCATTATGCAAAATTATAGTATACTCTTTCCCATTGACCTCATGTGTTTATTCCATGCATGTTTATTGCGCCATGGTCACAGTTTATTATTATTATCGTTATTGTGTGCTGCTATTTATTGAATACATGATAGAGCAAACCATTTTCAGGAAGGCGGAGTGGCCAATTGAAGGGCTGTCATGTGTTACAACGAAATTAGCATCGTCCGGTGGCTGGGTGTGTGTGGTTGGAATGAGACGGGGTTGAACACACGACCTCCGGGGCTATATGTTGATGACTTTAACCGTCTTACCATCGACTATCACGTTGAGTGCTGATCCTTTCATTCTTTTTCTCTCTCTCTCTCATTTTTCTATTCGTAATTGATTTTGAACCGTACAGGAAAAGCAGTCACGTTTGGCGGAAGGCATTAAATCGGGCGAGGCAGAATACAATGCTCGTATGAGTCAGATCAAGGAGAAGTGTCAGGTACTCGCTTGTTTGTTAGTCTCGCGTTTGATGGCATTCATCTATATATTGTATTTTCACATACGTCTAAATGAGAACTTTATGCGAAACAAATCATGGTACAATAATCTCTGTAGGTACGAAAACTTTCCATGATTTCCATGTGGACGGAATATTGCCAGGTTGCCCAGGTGAATTTTCTTGAGAAATCCACAATCGGATCCTTCGGCTGGCCAAAGCCGGACGCGCGAGGCAGCGGGGCGATGTGTGAAAACCGTAATCCTTTGGGGACCGGTGTCCAGTTCATCGGATCATACGAACTTTGGACGGGGTCAAACGTCTAAGGTGCCCAATACACCTCGATGTCAAATCAAGCCGGTGACCACTGCCAACCCCAGGAAGTTGTGTATGTACGCCTATTCTTGGTTGGTTTCGAATGAATGTTTTTGGCCAACTCCCCGAGGTGAACTACCAGTGGTTCACCAACCTGGATGTCGGCTTTTTGATGGGAAAACACCTCCGCCACGAGAAGGCAGTGAGTAGGGCTTCTTTAATAGCGGCTATTTTGAGACGATTGATCGTATGGGTGCATTTCGCGAGGTGCCACAACCCTAGACACCCACCCTCAACCATACTGAGGCTTTTGGCATTTATCTACCCTAACCAATCTTTTTGTTCTGATTGTCCGATCCCTGAGGACGTTTCTTTGTACTGAATGAATGTTCAGTTTCTTTGTGATTTTTGCCGGATATTCAGCTCCATTCGAAGAATTCCATGAACACCTCAATATTCTGGGCCCTATTTTTTAAACTTCCTGTCATGTTTAGTTCCCGAATCAGTACAACAGCGAGAGGTATATGTAACTAGGGTAGTCCGAATACCATGGAGTAGTCAAATACAGGTATGTAATGGTTATACTGTCGACGTTTGACACGCACTAAATCATGGTTACATTCATTTCATATATATATAACGAAAGAAAGAAAGTCAGTGTTCGTATAAGGAATAATTATCAAGGATTTAACATTGTGCGGGTTTTGTTTTGTTTAATACTATGCAGTTAGTGTGTTTCTCATCTGCTTAGCAAAAGCGACATAAGTGCCATTTCTCTTTTCTGTAGTTTACTTTGATTCGCTGATTTTCCGTCCATCCCCCCATCACCCATTCAGGGTGATAAAACTCAGATCAGTCTGTTGGATTTGCATCGAAAAAAATTGCAAAAAAAATCGAAAAAGAAAGAGACAAAACACGAGGACAAAAACGTGGAGAAGAAGAAAAAAAAGAAAAAGAAGAGTAAGCATAAGCATAAAGTAAGTGATGCGTGTAGTATTCTCATTAATCATTATCACACAGCACACGTATATTGTCGTACAGACATTTGCGTGGCGAACAAATCAATCTTTTTCATTTCATCAAAAGTCTTATAGTCGCGCAGAATCATGCATGACACATTCCTTCTCTGACCGTGGTCTATTCTCCAGGATTGAACCTTTCGTTACATTTTATTTGTGGAATCGGTTTCCTGACCCGTTTTCCACTCCGTTAACGAGCTTTTCAAGTAACATTTAGTTTTGAGTGGTAGTAGTTAGTATAGACGCAGCTTGTATTGCATATCAGCGGAAAATGGGAAATATTGAATCCACACCCACCCCTTTCATTCTCAGAATGCAACAATAGTTACAGTATTAAAACAATCAGTAATCAAGTTTCGTCTTGTCAGAATCTTCGGAGGGTCGTCAGGTTACTAACTGCCCATACACAATTTTCGACGGTTGACGGTACAGAAAGTTACACCGTTTGTTCAACTAACAGCTACCGTACCTAGAATCTGAGCACGATGCTCTCAGAGTTTAATAGTTGTTGGAATTGAATGGTACGATTCAATTGTGGTTCTGCCATTACGCGAGGTGAATTGCGACCAATCAAACGTTCACCATATCCATTCCTAGCTAGGAATGGGCAAAGTAATGCTTGTTATAACCCAAATGTGCCTGGTACATGTATGGGAACTGATGTGATGTGTGTTCTGAATTGATCCGGGGAATCAGGTGATGATTTATTGAATGTTCGCCGGTGTAGTCAATTTTCTCGAGGGGTTTGTCACCAACCGATGGAAATTGACAAAGT